TGCTAGTAGCTTGGAGGCCATCGCTGGTAGCTTGGAGGCCATTGCTATTAGGTTGGAGATTAGGTTTCTAGCCTCGTTTTTGTACTCAAATCTGTGGCTCGCAAGGGCGGAGCTGTCCGACATGCGACATCCCCTGCCCTGCCATGCAGCCTGATCGTTCGGTATGCACAGACCAATGGCTCCTTGGCCTTCTTTGGTCCTTTCAGCAATAAACTGGCCAAGCCACAATGAGCCTTGATTCAAGACAACTTGCTTTTGTAAGGTTGGGATACGGTCGGCTATGCTATGATAGCAAAATTGCAAAGGTGCGAAGCTGTTGAAATGCCCAAGACTCCCAAGACCGTTTCAAAAACAAAAATTCGGTAGTGCCTTGCCATTGTTTAAACAACACTGAACACTATTTGACAGAGGCTTGTCCACAAACTTGTGGATGCTGCACGTCCTGCTCTGCCGCTTGGCACATTTGCCGGGATGTTTTTGACAAGTATTGGAGTTGTTCCGTTTATAAATATCTATATAATGAGTCCTTTTGTTATTCCTGGAAGCTCATGTGCCACTCCATCCACAGACTTGTCTCTGATTCTCTCCAGCCGCTGAGATTTGCAAGATCCCGCGCTCTTGCTACTGAGATCGACACGAAACAGGATGTTGAGCAAAAGTGTCCCTCAGGTGAGTGCTTGCCAATATGTGATCAATGGCTCTTCCAAGCCGCTGACAACACAGCAAGTCTAATGTGCATCTAGTGTCCATATCTATTGTGAAACGAGAGCATTTTCAGCCTTCAACCCTTGCGCAGTTGGGGCGACATGCCCGGCTTGTGAGAACTGTCACAGACGACGAGGGCTTCAGCTGGAGTAGACAAGGCCAGCACTACTGAGCTTGGCTTTTTCAGAACTCTTTCCTGTCTACCAGATGCCATGCGTCATGATTCATGAGTCTCTTTTCAACTCTGTACCTCGGCCAAGGCGATGCCTCTTATAATCCGGGTTTGAAGTGTTCGACAGTGCTTTCCTCAGCAAGACGGCGAGCATGTTACAACGGGTTTTGGACTTGCCCCTCGCTACAAGAATGCACCCCTTAGGTTTTTAAGAAAGGCCTTGTAAGGTCATAGGCTATGCATAGGTCCTTACTACTAGGAACAAGGACGCTACTAGGCTCCTGGCCTTACTACTGGGAGCAAGGATTCCAGGTCTTGGATCTCACAACCTCTTGCAGCTTTGGAGCCCGCGGAACGTCTTTTCAGGTTGAGAATGCTGTGGGCAATGACATGGACAGAACCTCGCCTCCCAAGCCTTTCACAGGCCACATCCCCAGAGCCCAGAGTGTGATTTTGATGCAAAGGGTTTTCTTAAGCGCCCATACCCTGTAGCTTTGTGTAGCCGCGTAGCCTTATAGCCTCATGAATGCTGCAACGAAACATGACTTGCATGTTACAGCCATTTGTTCCGCTCAGAATCCAGCCAAAGACTGACTGACTTCGGAGAGGCCTTTACCATCACATGGTACACTGCTCAAAGCATGTAACGCTGTTTGAACGTCACAGTTGCAGGATGCTTGGTGGTTTACTGATCCAGCCCCAGGCAGCAAAGGATTTTCCGTCGAGAACCAAGACTGAGGGTGTTTGGATGTGTTTGGTCCCTTTGCATCCCTCTGCCCTCTCACCGAAAGCCTGCGCAAGGCTGCCAAAAAACGCGATCTTTTTGAAAAGGCCGAGCCTTTCCAGACCTTTGGATCCTTGCTCGGAGCGGCATTGCTGTCCTATGAGTTCGATGTGTGTCAACAGGATCCCGTGCAGAAGCCTGCCAGACCAGTGTCTACATCCCAGAGTCTCCAATTGAAGGACTTTGCTATTTAGTCACTCTCCGTCAAGCCTTAGTCGACGTGTTAAATGATCGTCTTTGTATGTCTTTGACTTTTTTAAAATCAGGTGACAGTGTCAGATGTTAGGAGTTCGCTGCTTTGAGGTTGGACTCTCCGCAGTTGGTGCCAGGGAGGCTAGACCCCAAGAATTCTTTACCTACTTTAAGACAAAGCCAGTAAACTCCACCAAATGGCTGAACTGATGTCAGGTTCAGTCTCATTTGAGTGGCTATCCGCAAACGCGGTTTGGTCCTTGCAAAGCGTGTTTCTAGACAAACAGTGCTTAGCACCTCGAGATCAAGTAGCCTACATTGCAGAGTCATTTCGAAGAACTAGAAGCACGACTTTGACTGACGCAGCTGCGCAGCTTTGCTGTAGTTCATGGAATGGCTTCAACTCACAGCGGGATTTCTTTCACGCATTGCCTTGAAGCCTTCGAATTCCATTTTTCCACGAGCCTCGTCACAGCGTGTAGGGCGCTGGGACGGCACTCTGGCTTCTTCCAAGAGGAAGTCCTTTAGGCTGTTGCCTTGCGCAATTGCAGAGGCTTGTCAATTTGCTAATCTGGTGATTTTGCATTGCATTTGGGAGATGTGAGGCAAGGATCTCAGGTAGAGTGCCAGATGGATTGCGTGCAAGTCTGCGAAGCACGACCTGCCGAATCCACTGTCATAGTTGCAAGCTTCAGGGGATGTATTATTTGGACCGGAAAAACTATTTGTACTTTGTCCACAGAAAACTGCATTTCAACTCTCTCGCATCCAGGTGAGAAGTTGGTGCGTGCGGACACCTGGCCTGAGCTGATATGTTTACATAACAATAGCATACATACAATAGCTTGATCTTGATCAAGCACAACACGTAGCGTCATATTGCAAAGTGCGGAGGAGTACCCTATGATTCCCTTTACCCAAGAATGCTTCAACTTTGCGTAGCTTGAGCAGGTGGACGTTCCTGTTTTCATATGTTTTGCTGTAGAGGGGCTGCTTCGTTTTGTTCAATTTTAATGAACAACTTGACCGCGCATCATCACCGAGGTGGACAGGCCAGGTATGATCAGCACATTTCATCAATGTCAACATGTATTTTCAACTTCACACGTTGCATTGGAGCATTCCTGAAAAGACACCGCTTTGCGGTCGTCAAATTGCACCGAGATTCTCAATCTGCACAGGGTAAAGCTGGAAAGCCTTCGCTCGGACACAACATGAGACGGCAGGCTGATACTGAAACGGCAACAAACCTCTATTTATTAGGTTGGAGGCCATCGCTTCTAGGTTGGAGGCCATTGCTATTAGGGAGGGTGAGCGGCTGGCTAAAAAAAGGAACATCAACTGATTATCATACTTTCTTGGAGTGTCACTCCGATCTACTTGTCATAGGATGCTTCGAGGCAAGGAACTAGCAGTCTAAACACAAATCGGATCAGTTTGACGCTCCCTGTGTGCAACTCAATGTAAAAACTCCTGAGTTGGATGACAAGACATCAATCATGGGCTTGGGCAGAATTGGTGGGATTCTCTTAATGTCTTCACCATTCTAGATGAACTAACAACAGAAGCTGCAAACTGAAAGGCATCACTAATACTACATCCGATGCTTCTGGCTCTCAGTATTGCTTCATTTGTTGTCGTATCCCTGGCTGCTATCATGGAGACGAAAAAGACCAAAAGCTTTCTGCGCGGCGCCGCAGTGAGGGCTTTCTACGATATGAACAAACACCCTGATGGGTATCGCTTTGTTCGGCTTCAGGAGAGCCTCGAGAGGACAGATGATATGCCAATTATAGGCCTCTCCACCGGTTGGTTTCCAGCTACAGTGGCTGAGGAGTTCAATGGAGAAGGTGAGGTGTTAGTTCGATTCCATGGATCTTTCGAAGATCCGTACAGCGCAACGAGTCCTGAGCAAGGTCCTGTCAAGAACTTGCATTGGAGAGTGGATCCAAATTTGGTTTCCGAGAGGACATCGAAGGCCACTTCAATTGAATTGTCTCTAGTGGTTGTGCGATGGAAAGAGTATTTCACTAGGCATTACACCAGCAGAAGCCACAACGTCCTGAATGAAGACCTAATCAAAGATGTGCTTGAGGGACCAGGCTCAGTGAAAGAAGCCCTAGGAAGCAAGGGGAAGTATGAAGTCTTTACCATTTTTGCTTCAAAATCAAAGCACCTTGATCTCCTCGACTCTTCCAAAACCAAACAGATCATCTCCAGTCTCCGTGGTTCCCGAAAAGCTGCACTCTATTTCTTGTGGCCGACGCAAAAGCCAGCACTGGAGCGAGAGGGCCGAGTCGCAGCAGGTTCTTTGCAGGGTCTCATGCAGCGTATGGAGGACGAAGGTGTCAAGACTTCTTGGCCGCATCCGTGGAAGCTCTATGAAGATTTGCTGAGCAAGTCCTGGGCCTTTCGAGAATCGAAGATGCCAACTGGCATTGACTTGCGAATTCCTCCAACGACCGCAGTGTCAAGAGAAGAATTGAGCCTTGATGCAGAGGCCGCGGCATCCACCGCCATTCGAAAGCTTCAAGAATTGCGGAAACAGCGCGGAGGGACACCTGCCTCCAAGGAGAGAGGTTTGCTGAAAACATTGCTGAACAGGCTTAAATACCAAGTCTAACAACTCCATAGATTGGGATACATTGGCATGAGTCAGTCAGTTTGCCTCAATAACAAGGCTAAAAGGAACGTTTGTCTGTTTTGTGTATGTATATGTAGACAGTAGACCTGTAGATAGCACTTGCAGGAAGATTATCGTGGGGTTGCGAAGCTTGGCTTCGCGTGGATGGGCGAAGAGGTTCTTCCCTTCACTGGAGAGGTGCCAACTCTGGTCCAAGTACCTCACACCTCTCTCTCTCTCTCTCTGCTTTTCATGGACTTGTGAAATCAGCACATTTGGCATGAACCTAGACTTTGGAGGTTCTTGCAACGCTCGAGAATGAGCTTCAGCTTTTTGTCCTGTGAGGCTGCCTTGACAAAAGCCTTGAAAAAGCTCCTTGACGGTTCTATTCCTGAAGCGCATTGCTTGGTGCAGGTGAATCGCTTGGTGCTTTGCTTTTATTTGTTGGGTATCTACCTAATTTCTTACTTTACTGTCTTCCCTGACATGATCTCCACGGCAGGAGCGTGTAGAAGATGTTTGCTGTGAGATGCGGGCCTATTGTTGTCAAGATGCAGAACGTGGGACTTATGCCATCAAGCTGCTAAATATGAGAATGAGGCCGCCAAAGCACCAGCATCAGGCCATTTGCCCGACCAATCAGGGAGTGGCAGACATCAGTTTGCAGAATGGACATGATTGATGACTGATGTAAAAGCCATTACATATACATATAATTACATATATACTGTATATTTACAAAGCTATCAGTGATCCTTGGAACAACGGAGCGTTTTGCAGTGCAGTAGCATTTGTTTCAATCAACGACAGGCACTGTGCATTTGGCTTGGTTTTGATCAAGAATTCACCTTGAGGCCTGGGATGCATCATTTGCAATGGCTGATCACAGGACCATGACATCTGATGAGCTCGCTCAGCAGTGCTTTGCTGGTGATAGGAAGATCGGCAGCCAGCAGTAGAGTTGTTTCATATGCTTTTGTTTGTGTGTTTGGGTTCTTCCTATCTCAAATACTTATATGCTCATTGGGTTTGTGACCAAAGTCTGGTTGAACAGTTCAATACATCTACCAAGGAAGATTGTGGAAAACATCGAAGCTGAAGTCAAGAGACTTGCGTATTTGTGGTTGGAGTGGCTTCGAAATTACTCCCCACCATCCGTGGTGCGCATAGATTTCATGATTTCACAAAGAAAGGATCTGACAGGCTCATCTGGTGCGTTCCAAGTACACACTTGTGAGCTGACGGAATGTGGAGGTGCGACTTGTGGGCTTCAGGTTACCCCACGCACTGTGGCCGTTCTGAACGATGCCATGGGTGAAGCGGAAGGCTTCCCGAAGCCATTACCTCCCTTTCAAGAAACGAATGAGCGGAACGAGCAAAGAAATCGGAATGACAGAGACCGACCGAAACGTGCAGAAGCATCAGCAGAAGGAGTGCGTGATGTTCAACTGCCTGTACAAGGGCGTTCATTCGGTGTGCTCGGGGCGTTCCTTTTGGCATTTTTTTGCCTCCTTTGGCCTCGGTCCAAGCTGGGCGGCTTTGTAGCTCTGGCTGGAATTGGCATGTGGAAAGCTCGAGACAAGCTTCGAGATTCTTGGACCATTAGGTCCTAGGGCCATTTGCTTGTGGTCTTGGAAATGCAAAAATAGGGCCCCAGCATAGACACAATTGCACATTATTGAATATTTGTTATTCTTTGTTTGCAGCTCTTTGTCCATGGTGAACTACGAGCGGAAACTTCCCTTTGAAGCATTTGCAACTTAACTCTGGCCCCAGGCTCCTGCTTCCTTGTCAGTCATAGACGAGCATTTAAATGTGACAGCCTCAGGATTTCTGCAACGCGCAAGGCAGTTAAAACTTGACGCTGTGCCAGCTGTGCTTGCCAAGGTCGCATCTTATGGTAGTGGAACACCATGCTGGCCTGTCCTGTTTTCTCAGGATTTCTTGACATATTGAATCATATATTGAGTATTTCATAGTGTTTCAACAAGAAGTACATAGCTAGTAGGTTGGAGGCCATCGCCGGCCATCGCTAGTAGGTTGGAGGCCATCGCTAGTCGTGGCCGTGGCCGTGGCCGGATGGCCGTGGTCGGATGCCCGTGGCCGTGGCCGTGGCCGTGGCCGTGGCCGTGGCCGTGGCCGGGTGGCTGTGTCCGTGGCCGGACGGCCGTGGCCGTGGCCGTGTGCAGGGCCGTGGCCGGATGGGCGTGGCCGTGGCCGGATGGCCATGGACGTGGTCGGATGGCTTTGTGGCCGGATATGGCCGCGTGGCCGTGGCCGTGGCCATGGCCGGACGGTCGTGACCTACTGGCTGTATGGCCGGAAGGCCGCGGCCAGAACCCACCAATCGCATCCGGCCATAGCTTCTATGGTGGTTGCTGCAAAAGGGGAAAAGGAAGAGCAAAGCGAGTTTGCATACACGCGGGCGCAGTGTAATCGATCCATGCGCTCAAACAGGATGACAGGGTTGAAGTTTTTCTGTCAAAAGTTTGCATTCTGCATCAGAAGCGCGACAGCTGCGAATGCAGAGAAGCAAAATAAGCTGGCGTTTACAACTAGATAGCTGAAGGTCAGGCTGATCTATGTCACTGCAAGCATTGAGCCCCGTTTGCGGCTGCACCCCACGCGAACAGGAAATGTCTCCAGCGTCTAGATGCATCGACGTTCTGTGTGTGCTTGGAATCTTTGACGCTTGCCTGCGGGAAAGGATGCTTGCGATCTACTCAACCGCTCGTGGCGAGTTGGCCCCCAGCCACCTTCCGCGTATACCCATTTTGCCCGTCGATTTAACACAAGTACAAGCGCAGGCTTCGCCGTCTGGCACATGTGGAACAAGCTCAACAACAAGCTACGCTGATTTCTGTTTTATGCGGGATTGCAGATGGTGACCTTGGGGACGTTGTTCTGGAAGCTTTTGCTACCACGAACGCAAGCAATGTCTATGCGAAAGCTTTCTTCGCTTTTTGCACCATCAAGGCGCGTGGAAATTCAACTTCTATCCTGCGCAACACAAGCGCGACCACGGTGACGCAATCACGATTCTGCAGTTATACATCCACGGCGTTCAAGCAGCGATGATCATGACTGAAACCTAAGTGGACAGAGATGGTCATGATGACAGCAGCAGCGGCAACGGTGTAGCGAGCGACAGCTGCGAGGGTAGAGAAGCAGAATGGGCTTGCGTCTAGTAGAAGATAGCTAGAATTAGAAGTCAGGCTGATCTATGTCATTGCAAGCATTGAATCCTCCACAGAGACACGCTCTACGGTGAGTGGCTGCTTCCTGGCGGGTCTTTGCGTGACTTTGCGATGCAGGTTTAGTAGAGATGTAGGACATTTCGCGTGAATCCAGATTGAGTATATCCTTTCAACATGCGTAGCGGCGTAGCGTGTCTACATTGCGGAGGTCTCTAGACTGGCAGCGAGCTATCGCTGCGGGGGGCGGTAAGTCACAGTGTACTGACGCATGATCAAACTTCAGTGAGGTGGAAAATGCGTTATTGAGAAGAGGCTTTCCACGTCGCGGGTAGCTGGCTGATGTCAGCTACAATCCTGCAATAATTAGTTTTGTATTCTACACCCCTCCACAAAGTGTCTGCGCTTGCAAACTCGAAGGGCGTGGCTTTGCGCGCGTTGCGCGGCAAACTCAATGCTTGCATTGCGCTGGCACTGGTTGTCGCATATCTGAAGGTAGTTAAACATCGCTCTGCTGCATGAACGCAGCAGGCTGGGTCGTCGTTTGCGGTTACACCCCACGCGAACAGGAAATGTCTCCAGCGTCTAGATGCCTCGGACGTTCTGTGTGTACTTGGAATCTTTGACGCTTGCCTGCGGGAAAGGATGCTTGCGATTTACTCAACCGTGGCTCGTGGCGAGTTTGGCCCCCAGCCACCTTCCGCGTATACCCATGTGGCCCGTCGATTTAACACAAGTACAAGCGCGGGCTTCGCCGTTTGGCGCGTGTGGAACAAGCTCAACAACAAGCTACGCTGAATTCTGTTTTATGCGGGATGATTGCAGATCGTGACCTTGGGGGCGACGTTCGGGAAGCTACCACGAACGCAAGCAACGTCTACGCCAAAGCTTTCTTCGCTTTTTTGCACCATCAAGGCACGTGGAAATTCAACTTCTATCCTGCGCAACACAAGTGCGACCAGTGAGTACGTCCACGGCGTTCAAGCAGTGATGATCACGACTGAAACCAATGATCAATGTGGACAGAGATGATCATGATGACAGCAGCAGCGGCAACGGCGTAGCGAGCTTTCGAGCAGTAGTAGCGACGATCGTGATTTACCCCTCGCGCGCATAGTATGCGAAGCGAGTGGAGAGAACGCCCAGGAGTTTCTCACATTCTGTCTTTCGCCCCCCTACTGATCACATCCATCCTCCTCGTGCCATTATTTCCTCTGCGCTTTCGGGCCACCCTGTCGCTTAGTTTCTGCTGCATCTTCTGCTTATGACGCTGGCGCTTTTTCTTCCGTTGCTGCTGCTGCTGTTCTTTTTGCGCGGCTTCTGCTTCTGCTTCTTCTTCTTCTTCTGGTTTGCTCCTTCTTGAGTTCGGCATTCGGCCCCGGTTGCCCCGGCCGGCCGGCTCGCTGTGGCCGGCTGGGCGTGGCCGGCTGGCCGTGGCCGGCTGGCCGTGGCTGGCGGGCTGTGGCCGTGGCCGTGGCCGTGGCCGTGGGCCGTGGGCCGTGGGCCGTGGGCCGTGGCCGGCTTGGCCGGCTGGCCGGAAACAAAAAATCTATTGTGTCGCTAGTAGGGTGGAGGCCATCACTCTTAGGTTGGAGGCCATTGCTATTAGGTTGGAGGCCATCGCAGGTTGGAGGCCATCGCTATTAGGTTGGAGGCCATTGCTATTAGGTTGAAGGCCATCACTCTTTGGTTGGAGGCCATTGGAGGCCATCGCTATTAGGTTGGAGGCCATCGCTAGTAGGTTGCTGGCCATCGCTCTTAGGTTGGAGGCCATTGCTAGTAGGTTGGAGGCCATCACTCCTAGGCTATTACGTTGGAGGCTATCGCTATTAGGTTGAGGTCACTCTTAGGTTGGAGGCGATCGCTAGTAGCTTGGAGGCCGTCACTCCTAGGCTATTTCGTTGGAGGCTGTCGCTATTAGGTTGGAGGCCATCGCTAGTAGGCTGGAGGCCATCACTCTTTAGAATAGAGGCCATTGCTAGTAAGTTGGAGGCCATCGCTATTAATTCGCAATTAGGTTGGAGGCCATCGCTAGTAGGTTGGAGGCCATCACTCCTAGGCTATTAGGTTGGAGGTCATGGCTATTAATAACTCAAAAGAATTTTGTTTATCTCTCCCCCCTTCTTTGTTTCTGTTTCAGTTCTGTAGCTGCACTCGCCGTCGTGTGGAAGTTGATGGTGTCCTGATTGCTTTAGACGCCGCCTCGGCTCTGCTGGAGCCGAAATTAAGTGCAACAACTAATGTGCCTCACTGGCGATTTGAGAAACACACAGTTACCAGTCCGTGTCCAAGATGACATGTGACACCATGTCGACACCATGTGACACCCGGAATAGGATCGAATAAGTGGTCTTTGCTACACATCCAAGCTGTGCATGATTGGCTTGTTCGGTGTCTATCTTCGCGGTAGGCCATGGCTTTCCTTTCCTTCTTCTCACACTTTTTGCCTCATGTCAAACATGTACTGTATAAACTTATTGTCACGAAACAGTTCCGACAAAAAAAATACTCTGAAACTTAAGGAAAAAAATCAAGTCTTTGCCAGGTCTAGAGCATGCTGAACCTCAACCACTGCAGTTTCATTCTTAGGAAGCTTCTTTGTGCAACTCTGACGTTGGCTGAGTCAGCCTCCTAACTCCATTCTTCATATCCTCCATTCCCAATTCTTCGGTCATTGTCGGCTCCATCCAAGAACATTCCACCAAGAGCCCTTTCGAGGATAGCCCGACCATCTTCGGCAACTTCGTCCCGAAAGCACGGAGCTGAGATTTGACAATTGACGCAAGTCGAGTTGGTTGTGGCTGATTAGGAAGACCTCGGGTTAGCTTTGCGCTTTGCTCAGCTTCTCCAAGGCCGAGTGCACGCAAGGCAATGCAGGAGGCAGCGGATGAACATTATGACAGAGTTCTGGCGCAGGCGCTCTCCTAGAAAGATGGGTGAGAATTCCTGATCTTTCTTGAACTGGAGAGGCGAGCGCAGGGCTGGACATGGACATAGTAGGCTTGGATCAGGCAGCGACATTTTGAGAGTAGACTTTAGTTTCTGTTTGATGTTCACTGCGAGATCATGCAAAGCTGAAGAGCTGACAGGTTACTCAAGAAGGTCAAGAGAGTCAATCAACAATACTCAAGCTGCCGAGTGCGGTGACTGTTGCAGGTGCTTGGACATGCTTGGACTTGTTTGTGTTTGAGATGTTTGAGTGGATTGCGAAGCTTTGAACTTGTCGCAGAGCACACTGCGAAGGGGAGCCAGTTGCAGCGACGGGAGACATGATCTACCTTGGCGGGGGGTGGCCTGAGCCAATTGACCAGAGACGAATTCCTTGGTTCACATACCTTACAGTGCCTTTTCTTGATGCAAGAACATTTTTTTTAAAGTTTGTATATCTTTCTTTCCAGCACCATTGATCGAATGTGCATGGCCAGTCTCTATGCTTCCTGTGCGCCTCCTCCAGAGAAGCCAAAGAAGAAAGCGAGGCACAGGTTGCCGAAGTTTTGACTCAGGAGATAAATTACATAAATAAGTTCGATGAACATTTTTGGACGGAACATCTTGTATTCTGCATCCCTGCAGTGTGCGAAAGCCGCCTCGAAGGCTGGAAGCTGAAGA